ATCCCAGCCCCTTCCTACCCATTCTTTTTTTTCTTTTTCTTTTCTTTTCTTTTCTTTCTTTTTTTGGTCTTTTTGAGACAGGGTCTCCCTGTAGACCCAGCTGTCCTGGAACTCACTTTATAGACTAGGCTGGCCTTGAACTCACAGAATCCTCCTGCCTCTGCCTCCCAAGTGCTGGGATTAAAGACGTGTGCCACTACACCCGGCCCTACCCATTCTTAATCCATGTAGTAAAGATCATACTGCCCAAGGTTCTGATAGGTGATTTAGGAAGACCTCACCAATCCGATATCCACAGTAGTAATCACCCTGATTGTTTTAGAGGTGAGCTGTATGGCCCATGCCACATTAATTGAATCCACTCTGTGGACTTTAACTGATGCTATCAAGAAGAAATACTGCTTTCACCCAGATACAAACTGTGAGGGAATTTGAATCTAGCACTGAGGGTAGCCATTTTTGCCAACCTGAGAATGAAACCAAAGCAAGAGAAAGTAGTAACCAAAGAATATGCCCTAGAAATACTAAGGCCCTGAGATCGTCACAACAAAATTTAATGTCATCATAGGACGTCTTAGCTTCATAAGCCAGTGAATTCCTCTTTTATTTTAACCTATTAGTTTGTTTCCATTACTACATGAAATATATGGATCTAGGTACTTCTATAAAGAAAATTTATTTAGCTGGGCGTGGTGGTGCACACCTTTAGTCCCAGCACTCAGGAGTCAGAGGCAGGAGGATCTCTGTGAGTTCAAGGCCAGCCTGGCCTACATAGTGAGTTCCAGGTCAGCTGGGTCTACAGGGAGACCCTGTCTCAAAAACACACAAAAAAAAGTTTTTTAGGTTAAAAGTCCAAATCGTTCTGGTAAGGGCCCTACCTCATGACATATGACAACACAATGCTAAGAATATAAACAGAAGATCACCAGAAGCTAGAGAGCAGGGAGGGGCCAGTGAGGACCTCCTCCTTAGCCCCACATTTTAATATGACTATACTGAAAACTAAGTTTCCAACATATGAATCTCCAGGAAATACATTAAACCATAACCAAAACATGCAACTGTTTTATGTTGGATCTTTGTCATGAAATAAAAGATGAAGCTCAAATTACACTTTCCAGAAAAAAAATACAAGTAATAAACTACTTTAAAACCTTTCTGGAACATTTACTTACAGTTATCTGTGTGCATGTGTGTGTGTGTGTGTGTGTGTGTGTATGTGTATGAGAGAGAGACACAGAGACAGAGAAGGAGAGAGAGCAAGTTCCAGGCCACCAGCTGGGACTACAGGGAGAACCTGTCTGAAAGACACACACAAAGATCTTTATGACAAGGAATTGAAACCAATCCATATCAATGGTGAACCTGACAGAAAAAGATCATCCCATGATGAGATCACCCTCAAATGGTAGCAAATTACCCCATGAAGGGAACTGAGGCTATACCCTAAAACAAGAGCAACAGCAATTACCTCATGGGAAGCAGACTGTGCACCTCAAATGCAGGGAAAACAACTTCTTCAGAATCACTTTGAAGAACCAGAACTGAGGGGCTAGAGAGGGCTCAGCAGTTAAGAGCGTTGGCTGCTCTTGCAGAGGACCTGGATTCAAATCCCAGCACCTACATGACGGCTCACAACCATCTGTAACTCCAATTCCAGGGGATCCAACAACTTCCTCTGGCCTCCATGGGCACTGCATAACACAGGCGCATTTATATACATGCAGGCAAAACACTCATACACATAAAATAAATAAAACTTTTAAAAAAAGGGAGAATCAGAACTGAGATGATGCTCTATCAGACCACAGGCCTAACCAACATTACCTGCTGTCAGTTGTGCAAATGTTCAATGTCTGCCTTTGTTTCTCTTTCCTACAAAAATCTCAAAGTTTGAACTGAGTGTGGTGATGCACACCTTTGATCCTAGTGCTTGGCAGGCAGAGGCAGGTGGATCTCTGTGAGTTCAAGGCCAGCCTGGTCTGCATAGTGAGTTCCAGGACAGCTAGGGCTACAGGGAGACCCTGTCTCAAAAAGGAAAAAAAAAAAAAAAAAAAAAAGGGGAGAAAAAGGCTTTAATTTCTTATACCAAGTTTACTTTCGAAGCAGTATGAATCATCACTCAAATTAATAATGTCTAGTATTTGACTTGCTGAGCTGGTTCTCACCATCTCTTCAAAACAGAATACACTGAATGTTATGCTACATGTGTTTAGTTTTTTTTGTTTTTTTTTTTTTGCTGACTTTCTGGGTTCCTGTTACAACTGAACCCTCAAACAGTGGGTTTTGTTTCTGTGTCCTCCTTCCCCAATTCTTGTAGGAGAGAATAAAACAGGACTACAAAGGTGAAAGCTTTGCAGTTTTAGAGGAAGATGAGGTTTAGTGGATTTTAAATTTTAACTGAATAATTAAGATGTACTGAAAAAAATCAATTACACCATGTTAACAATATATACAGGAAAAAAACTGAGGAAGCAATTCACTCTAGTCATTCTAAATTTAAGAAACTGAATATAAAGGATTTGTAAACCCATTTATTGAGTATAAAAGTAATGGATTCTCAAGTGTAATTAAAAAAATACTACCACTTAAAGTCTGTAAAACAAGAACTCTGCTAATTTTCAGTTATGTAAGAAAAATAACCAATTCCTAATAAGCTCTCTTCAACAACAAAGTTTCTCAAGAGTAAAGATAAATTTGTAAAATTCACTAATTACAATTACAATGAATTGAGTACAGCTCTTTTTAATTTTTATTTTATGTGTATGCATGTATTGCCTGCATGTAGGTAAGTGCACCCATGTCATGCAATGCCCACGGAGGTCAGAAGAGGCCGTTGGATCCCCTGGAACTGGAGTTACAGACAGTTGTTAGCTGCTATGTGGGTGCTAGGATTCGAACCTGGGTCTTCTGCAAGAACAGTCAGTGTTCTTAACTGCTGAGCCATCTCTCCAGCCTGAGTACAGCTCTTTTAATTGTACCACATTTTATTAAGTCTCAAATGCCAGTGATTATAAACTTCATTATTTTATGTAACACTAGAAAAGAAAAAAAGCTGTCATTTTTTTTTCTTTGTTCATGAGACACGGTCTAACTATGTAGCCTACGCTGTCCTTGAATTCACAATCCTCCTGCCTCAGAGCCCTGAGTGCTGGGATTGCAGGTGTGTGCCACCATGCCTGGCTAAACACTACCAATTAAGCTACAATATGCTTATGCCATCCAATATTCAAAGAAAGTAAAATGTCATAAAATAAGTTTTAGAATAGAGGAAATATTGGACCAATAACATACTCAAATACATTAGATCAAAAAGAAAATCATCTGCAGATAAAATAATCTTAGATACTAAGAACTTCCCATATCTACTATTACAATTATGTACTATATTACCATAAATTAGTGCTCCAACATAATTCCTAATCTGTTTAATAAAAGCTATTTTTTTACTTTTAAAAATTTATTTTTTCTTTTTTTTTTTTTTTAATGTGTATGCATGTATTGCCTGCACGTAAGTGCACCCATGTTGTACAATGCCCGCGGAGGTCAGAAGAGGCTGCTGGATCCCCTGGGACTGGAATTATGAACAGTTGTTAGCAGCCATGTGGGTGCTGGGATTCAAAACCGGGTCTTCTGCAAGAACAAGGAGTGTTCTTAACCGCTGAGCCATCTCTCCAGCCCCTAAAAGCTTTTTTAGCAGATACACAGAAAATAAATAAAATGAAAGGCACCCCCCAAAAAACTGGATCTTGACATTAAAAGCCACTATTCAGCACTGAAATTGATGAAGACTGTAAAGCTCAAGACTTGACCCAGAAACAGCTGGTCTTTTAGCATGAGAAGTTCACTCAGATAGACAAAAGATGCACTGTAGTGTTACAATCCATCCCACCTGCTCCAGACAAAACCTGCCTCCACTGAACAACCCTATTTGAGAAATGGCAAATACAGTAAAAATAAATAAATAAACCGTATGCTAGAAACTGACAGAGGGAAAAAGCATTTACAGCCAATTTATGTTTTTAAAAAATGAGCTGAAGCTGGGTGTGGCATTTATTCCCAACGCTTGGGAGGCAGAGGCAGGTGGATCTCAGTGAGTTCAAGGCCAGCCTGGTCTACATATCAAGTTCCAGGCCAGCTGGGGCTACAGGTAGATCCTTAAAAAAAAAAAAAAAAAAAAAAAAAAAAAAAAAGAGTTGAACGTTGACATGGAATCAGTGCTCTGAGTACTCTTTTCCCCCTTTCCTAGAAGTGTAGGCTGACTCAAAGTTTTGTATCAGCACCCCATCAAGTTTTGCCACTTTCATTGTCTTCAATGATATATAATTAATGCTTAGTACTTTAAATACCAAAATACCTAGATGCATTTTGCTGTCCAAATAAAATTTTAATACATTTATTTATGTGTGCATCTGCCACAGCACCTATGTGGAGGTCAGAGAACAACTTTCAGGAGTTGGTTCTCTCCTTCCACAAGGTGGGTTCAGGGGATCAAACTCAGGTTGCCAGAACTGTCAGCATGCCATCTCACCCACCTCAAAATAATTTTTTAATGCTTCCATTTGGATGGTCTGGGACAGACCTGAATTTTAAAAACACCCCCTCTGCACTTGGGAGGCAGAGGCTGGCAGATCTCTTGTGAGTTTGAGGCCAGCCTGGTCTACACAGCGAGTTCCAAGCCAGCTGGGGCTACAGGGAGACCCTGTTTCAAACAAAACAAAACAAAAACCAAAAACCAAACAAAACAAAACGAAAAACCCCACCACTTCCTCCATAAAATGCTTTTCCTCCAAATCTCATCACTCATCAATTCACCAAAGCTGCAGAATTTAGCTGAAGACACACTAATAAATCAGAATCCAAAGGGCCAGTATCTCCAGCAAACAAAACATTTTGTTTTGATACAACTTTTAGAGAAAAATGGTAAATTTTCAGGTAACGCACTCTTCAAAACGTCCTGGTGCATTTATTTAGCAAAACCCTCATCCAGTTTCCCTTACCTGGCAGATCACCGGCAGCAGTCTTCAAGTTTGCCAAGATTTCCAGAAGGGTTAAAGCAAATAGTGACCGTCTCCCTTGGGTGTAAAGGCTTTTCTCTAAAATGCTCTCCTCTGCCTGTCCTCTCCCTTCTCCACTGACTGGCAAATAAAAACAAAAACCTCCAGAAAAATAATGGGGTGCCCAGTTCACCTTTTAAAATCAAAGGCACATCTCATACAATCAGTAATGATGACAGCACAGTACTCACCCTCTAAAAATCCAAAGTACGTAACATGTTACTGCAACTTAAAAGCACAAGGACATATTTTGAAAATATTTTTGTTTCAATTTTTAGGAGTTTACTCATTTAAATTAACCAGACCCGGGGGCACACGACTAAGGAATCAAGACTTGGCTGTATCTCTATCTAAAAAATTGGTCCTCCAAGTTAAACACTTAAAATGTGGCTTCTACAGTATCTTCCACTATACGAGGATGCAGTATGACCATAGCAAATGGCATTTTGGAAAATAAAAGAAACTAACCTTCAAGCCCCCTTAATCCACTGTCTTAGACAGTTTTTGTGCAAAGCTGCCGGTTCTCCTGAGGGAGCGATGGGATGACTCTTACCCCCGCATCCCACGGCTCCTAGCACGAAGCCTGGAAGAAGTGGGCATTCGGTAAATGCCTACTGAACACTTTGGTCTAACAAGTTAGGGCATTCCAAAGCACTGACTCCACCCCGGTAGTCGCCACCGGAGTCCGGACTGCCTATGGCCTTGCCCCGAAGAACAGAAACCTCATTGCTCCACTCAGGAAGACCCGGGACCGGGGCAGGAGAGCCACCCACCCCCACCGCGCAGGGCAGCAGCTCGTCCGCTCGGCGTGCCCGGAGGCAGGTCCGGAGGCCGTTCCCACGCCATCCCGGAGAGCTCCGTCACCAGCTCGAAACCCGCAGGGCCACGCGCCCCTGCCCCACCCCGCGCAGACAACCGGGCGTCGGGGCACGGGGGACGCCTGCGCAGAAGAGCCCACCTCCCACCCGCCCTGGCCCCGCGGAGGCGAAGGGTAACAATACCCCTCGGCCGCAGAGGGGCCGGCCGGCTCCCGGATTATCTGCGCGCTCCCCCAGCCTCGGCGCGCCTCAACCGCCTGCATGTGAGCGCGCCGCGCGCGCCGCCACTCAGGCTGACAGGGTCGCCTCACCTGAGTCGGGCTCCGCCCCCCTGCTCCTCGCGGGAGGAGGCGGTGACCCTTCTCCAGCAGACTGACCCTGTAGAAGGAGGCGGGAACGTCCAGACTGGCTTCTCTGGGCTGTGATTTCCGCCCCTTCCGCCCGTCCCGCCCCCCGCCCGCCCCTTGGTTCGCTCCGTGTCTCCCTCAGTCGGTTCGCGCGGTTCTCTGCGAACCCGGCTGCGGCCGACCAGTTAACGGATGTGACGCGAGGCCTCTCCCCCTTCCCCCCAAGCCGGCAGCTGCCAATCAGCAGAGGGGAGGGCGGGGCTAGGCAGGAATGCAGACAGCCTTGTCGCGAACCAGCCTCCCGAAAGCCTGACCAATCAGCGGTCCTCTGCCTGGCTGTCTAGCTGTCTGTTTACTACCACCGGCCCCGTGAACGCCCGGACCAATCACCGTTTGCTTTACAACATGTAAGCCTATTATTAAAGGCCTCTGGGGGCGGGATTTATCACTAAGCAACTCCAGGTTAGGACGATAGAAAAGCGACTTTGTGCAACAACCAATCAAAATCCAGTATGGTTGAGGGAGGCGGGTCTCCTCTAATTGAGCCAATCACAGTTAGGGCTGGCAGTAGCGTGTCTCTCCATTGGCTGGTGCTGAGGGCTGTCCCCCTCCCTCGTGGCGCCGGCCCTGCGATGATTTGGGCTGTGTCGTCTGAAGTGAGTTCCCACCGCACAGTTGTGCGGGTTGCAGGCTGCTCCCGACTCGTAGACGTGAGAAAAGAGAAAAATGAAGTTCCAAGAAGCTATTTAAGTCTAATAAATCCAAACCGGCAGGGTTAAAACTCGGAACATGAAAGACCACTCGTCTGGTGGCACTTAGGCTGGACGCGTCTAGTCTTGGTGGCCCAAACGAGTGTGGGAAAGACGGATGCGACGGCTGTCTGGATCCGACTCCACAATCAAGTTTGCAGTTCCCACCACCAAACACAAACTGCAGGGCTCAGTGTTCCCGGCTTCGCAAAGGTTTCTGCAGGATCAGGAGGGAAAAGGAGTCCGGTGTGCTCGTCCCCCAGGAGGAGACACCCCTGTGTCTTCAGAACTTAACATCCAATACTATGTCAGCTTAGTCTCTCCCCTCAGAGTTTTTGTTACAGAGTTTGTTTTGTTACCGAAAAATCAGAGACCAACATCAGGTGAGGAGAGGGAGTTTAATTTCACACTAGTGGGACTGACCTCTTGATGTTTCCATAAAGGAGAGTCAGACCCCTTATTCAAGTTTTGGAGGGCTTTTATACTCATATGTGAGGAGTGCAAGCAAAAGGTACATAGCATATACATAGTAATCAAGTAAGTTAACCTAACAGAAATTCAAAAGCTATGAGAAACAAAGACTTCTATACTGGGTAAAGGTTACAGGAATGTGATAGCTTTGGAAAATAAAGCCTTCTATCCTGGTTAACCACAGGGGCCAGGGAAGATTCTTGTTCACGTCCCCATTTCTATCTCCAGGCTTTTCCTGCACCAGGAAAGAGTTCTTAATTACCATCACATTGTAAAAGCTTTAAGCAGCCGATGTGCTCTTCTATTTCCATAATATCCCCTCCTCTTCATCATCTTTATCCCATATGTTATTCAAGAGAAACGCTATGATATTCTTGACAAGTCACCTGGAGTCTGGTGGCCTCTCCTTCGTTTTTGATAAATTTACTGAGTATACTTATTATACATGTCCCTACCAGGAGGATTAATAGAATCACAGCTATTGATCCTGTTCGATAGCCAGAGGCCCCAAGTATTCCAGGAACCTTTTTAGAAAGACTATTTTCCCCAGCCTTTATTCTCTCGTAGTTGTCTTGTATTTTCCTTAGCTATGCCAGATTGATTTGTATAAAAAGAGCATGAATACATCCCTTTTCTGGCATCTCTAGTCTCAAGGATAAATTTACTGGCATATCTAAGGAAATTTCCAGTTCTCAGTTGAGAAAGAAACTGGTCATTTTCATTTGGGGGTCTTTACTTTAAAACTGTCTTGTCAAGCCGGGTGTGGTGGTGCACATTTAGTCCCAGCCCTTGGGAGGCAGAGGCAGGCAGATCTCTGTGAGTTCAAGTCCAGCCTGATCTACAAAGTGAGTTCCAGGCCAGCTGGGGCTACAGGGAAACCCTGTCTCAAAAAGACCAAAAACAAACAAACAAAAAGTAACTTAGTCTCTACCTCCTATTCTCATCACATTACCCTCTAAAGAGGATACCCAAATTCCTTGAGTGGTGCCTGTGAAGGAGAAATAAAGGCAAGAGTAGTTAGGCACAAATTATAGTCAGGGAACCAGGAGAAGTGAGAACAGGGTGAATTTCAAATGTCTAATTCAAAGTCCATTAGAAATTCTTGATGAGGACTTCCAAAAGCATCCATTTATTGGGGTTTTTTCTCATTTCTCATTTGGCCATGTCAGCTGGACTCAGGCTCTGTTTCTCAAGCATATAGGTAGACCATTGCTTGCTTTTCTATTACTGTGGTAAGACATTCTGACCAAAGCAACTTGGGGAGGAAAGGGTTTATTGGGTCTACACTTCAGGGTTCACAATCCATCACTGAAGGAAGTCAAGGAGCTCAGCAGAAACCATGGAGGAATGCTGTTTACTGACCCTTCCTGACCTAGACTAGCTTTCTTTCATTTTTCTTTAAAAATTTATTTTTATAGCCAAGCATGGTGGTGCACACATGCCTTTAGTCCCAGCACTTGGGAGGCAGAGGCTTGGGAGGCAGAGGCAGGAGAATCTCTGTGAGTTCAAGGACAACCTGGTCTCCATAGCAAGTTGCAGGTCAGCTGGGGCTACAGGGAGACCCTGTCACAAAAAGACAAAAATATTTTTATTATGTGTATATGAGAGTTTTGCCTGCGTGTATGTCAGTGCACCTGTGTTGTATATGCCTGTGAGGCTGAAAAAGAGTGTCGGATCCCCCTGGAACTGGAGTTACCTACAGTTATTAGCTGCCATGTGAGTGCTGGGAACTGAACCCATGTCCTCTGCAATAAAAGCCATTGCTCTTAATTGCTGAGCCATCTCTCTAGCCTGAGGCTGGCTTTCTTAAACTTAAGCTAGCTTTCTTGTACAGCTCAGAACCACCTGCCTCGGGATGGCAGGACCCACAGTGGGCTGGGCCCGCCCACATCAATTAGCAGTCAAGAGAATGCCCCACAGACTTGGCTAATCTGATGAAGAAAATTCTTCAATTGAGGTCTCTTGTTCCCAAGTGACTCTATAGTGTGTCAAGTTGACAATTAAAACTAACCAGGACAATTTGGAATAACAAGCCAGGCACTATTGAGAGGTCCTTTTGCTTGTGTGAACCTTATGGGAATTCTGTGACCTAACTAATATTTCAGGTCATCACACTGGCAACCATAGCAACAAATTACTTGTTAATGAGCACTTTTCTCATGTTGGTGGGACTATTCACGGTCTTTGAAGATAACCTAGTACTGTCTCAAAATTTAAAATATGCATTTATTCTCTTTTAACTCATGACTTCTTTCTAAAAATTCATGCTACAGAAAACACACAGATGCGAAAAAGTATATCCAAGGCTGTCCACCATGGCTGCTGAAAAAGAAAGGCACAGTCTAATTGTGTAGGTATAGGAGTTAAGGGTCCATATACAGGACTGGGCATAGTGGCGCACACCTTTTGTCCCAGCACCAGGGAGGCAAAATCAGGTGCATCTTTGTGAGATTGAGGCCAGCCTGGTCTACATAATGAGTTCCAAACCTGCCTCTGCCCCCAGAACACTGGGGTTAAAGGAGTGTACCACCATATCAGGTGTTAATTTTTAATTTTATAAGGCACCTGTATTAATTTAATTCTTACAACAGGTATGACATTAGTCATAATTATGAAAATTTTTAGATATTCAAATCATTAACAAAATTTTTCCTAATCTAACTTACCCAACAAAAGTATCGGTAAGATATTTGTCTTAGTTTGCTGTTCTGTTGCTGTGATAAAACACCAAAAACTTGGAAAGGGTTTATTTCAACTTATAACACCCATCACTGAGGGAAACAAGGGAAGGAGCTCAAACAGGAACCTGGAGGCAGGAACTGAGGCAGAGACCATGAGGAAGGTTGTTTACTGGCTTGCTTCCTCTGGCTTGCTCCACTATTTTCCTTATACAGCCCATGCCCACCTGCCCAAAGATGGCACCACCTCAAGGGCCTGGGCTCTCCTACATCAATTAGAAATCAAGAAAAATGCCCCACAGGCCAATCCATGGAGAAAATTCCTCAGCTGAGATTCCCTCTTCCCAGGTATGCCCAGGATTGTGTCAAGTTGACAACAAATTGAACCAGGACACCTCACTCCTTGTCAACACATGACCTTTAAAACATACTCTTTCATTTCTTGTCCATAAAACCTCATGCTAATATCACAATATATAGCACAGCTCGACTTAAAACTCCAAGTCCTTAGCCAGGTGTGATGGTGCATGTCTTTAATCCTAGCACTCGGGAGGCAGGGGCAGGCGATCTCTGTGAGTTCAAGGCCAAACTGGTCGACATGGTGCGTTCCAGGCCAGCTGGGGCTATGGGGAGACCCTGTCTCAAAAAAAAAAAAACAAAACAAAAACCCCAGTCCTTACAAATTCCATCACTTAAAAGTTCCAACTCTCTCTTGAGGCTGGAGAGACTGCTCAGCAGTTAAGAGTACTTTCTGTGGCCGGTGTGGTGGTGCACACCTTTAGTCCCAGCCCTCAGGAGGCAGAGGCAGGTGGATCTCTGTGACTTCTAGGCAAGCCTGGTCTCCATAGTAAATCCAGGCCAGCTGTGGCTACAGGGAGACCC